CCCTTTTATTATTCAGTCTGCGCGGTCCGCGCCGAGGACCCAGTGCGCCTGCGCCGCGCCACGAGAACGTGAAGACCCCCCGCACGGCAGCAAGGGTTGCTGGGAGTTGTAGTCCTCAGTTAAGCAGGAATTTTACCGTCGGCAGAGGGTTCAAGCCAAAACATAGGACCACAATACCCAGGGATCCTTGCAGACGGTGTCCCGGATGCTGTGGGCCTGCGACGGCTTCTGGGAATTGCAGTGCGGTCGCGTTTCTTTTTCTTACCAGCGCGTTTTTAGTTTGTTAGGAGACCGTTTCTTCGAAACAAGAGCCTTTGGAGGAGACGGGGCCGAAGGAGCGAGCTAAGGACGCCCTGACGACTTCTGCGAAACAGTTTCAAGTGTAATTTCACTGACAACAGTGTAATAATTACCTTGGTTCCATACTTAGTACAGTTTGGGCACATTTCTAATCCCGGCTCAGAACAGGGCCTCCAAGCAGGGTTTCAGAGTCTGTATTGTCGGGTCTAAGCTCTGGGCCTTTGTCCTACAGGCCCCTGGAGTCCGCCAACATTCTCATCCCTGAGAGGCACGGAGGAAAGCCTGCCTGCTGGAAGTCAGTTGGAGAAAGTTGTGCCAAAGCAGAGCTGCGCTACCCAGTACTCTGTGCCCACGCCTTTGCCGAGGTGCTGCAGTGACCTTCACAAACTGAAACCTGGAGCTCCACGACTTAGGTCCCTTCTCAGCTCGACACCTGGCCTGACCCACTTGTTTCCAGTACTTGAAGGGCCAAGGACGAATTTAATCTCCGTCTAGAATAGTCTCTGAAGTACACTGGCAAGTTGCAGGGGTGTTGAGAAGCATCACACCAGTGTCCAGAGGAAGGGCCTGGGTTTGAATACGGGGTGTGAGTTACCATCCACTCCAGTTTTCTGCTCTGTATGTCAGCCTTTTTATTTGGGAAAATATCTTTCCCTTCCCCACTTACCAGCAGTCAGGCAGAGTTCTTCACTTTAAAGATAAGCCAGTTGCCCCAGACCCAGGCATTTGATTCTGTGAATTTTGGAATGTTCTTCATAGTTTTTTTTTTTTTTTTTTTTTTTTTTTTATTGTCCTTTTGGAATGTTTCGTCTTCAAACGCCCCTAGTGGCTAAACAACTGATTTGGCCTGTTTAGGAAATAGCAGTTTCTCAACGTAATAAACTGACAATTTGGCTTCTGATGTGAAATTACTAGAAATTATATAAAATAAGTATGGTCACCCTTAAACACTAACAAGTTTCCACTCGCCCCACCCTCCCTCGCCCTTAAAGTTATTTGGAACGTGCTTTTTATTTTTTATTTTTATTTTAAATATGGCTAACCGGCCATCCCTATATAGGGATCCGAACCCATGGCCTTGGTGTTGCCAGCACCACACTCTCCCGAGTGAGCCATGGGCCGGTCCCCTTTGTAGATGTTTTAACACTCGTCATTTGACTTTGTTTTCCGTATTGAATCTAATTCAAATTCATTGTTTTTAAGACTGATTTACATTTTATTAGATGAGATAACGTTAGCTGATTGTCTAATAAAAAAAACACATTCCAGGAGTCGGCCCATGGCTCACTTGGGAGGATGTGGTGCTGATAACACCAAGGCCACTGGTTCGGATCCCTATATAGGGATGGCCGGTTAGCCATATTTAAAATAAAAATAAAAAATAAAAAGCACGTTCCAAATAACTTTAAGGGCGAGGGAGGGTGGGGCGAGTGGAAACTTGTTAGTGTTTAAGGGTGACCATACTTATTTTATATAATTTCTAGTAATTTCACATCAGAAGCCAAATTGTCAGTTTATTACGTTGAGAAACTGCTATTTCCTAAACAGGCCAAATCAGTTGTTTAGCCACTAGGGGCGTTTGAAGACGAAACATTCCAAAAGGACAAATACAAGTTGTAGTGTATGGCTTTAATCCTATGATTAAATCCGAGTAAGTGGTGTATATGTTATCCCCAAAATACCTAAGTGTGATTTTACCAAAGAAATATAGTTCACAGTACTAGATTTTTTTTTTTTTTAAAGATGACCGGTAAGGGGATCTTAACCCTTGACTTGGTGTTGTCAGCACCACGCTCACCCAGTGAGCTGACCTGCCATCCCTATATGGGATCCAAACCTGGGGCCGTAGGTGTTATCAGCACCACACTCTCCCGAGTGAGCCACGGGCCGGCCCACACAGTACTAGATTTTAAATAATAGGTATACGTATACAATGAGCTTTAGAGTAAGTGTGTGCTGTTAGAGTTGGGAGATGATATCTAAACTGCTTAATTTACAAAAGAGGAAACCGAAACCCAAAGAAGTTAAGTAGCTTGCACAAAATTACTCAGCAAGTCTGTGACAGAGCAGGAACTAGACAGTAGCCTAGAGGCTGCATCACGTTCATTACTGTTTTGATTGTGTAAACATTTTCATCTCTCCATTTCCTGTGTTGACTTTCCTCCCCTGTACCAGCTTGGGAAAAGAAAAACATAACTATATGACTACCAAGTAAGAGGGACAAACTATTTCCACTAATCATCTTTAAATGAATGAATGTAAATCTGTATCTTGTTTTTCTTGAAACGGTTTTAGTTTCTTTCTTTCTTTTTTTTTTTTTTATCTTAAAATGTGACCGGTAAGGGGATCTTAACCCGTGACTTGGTGTTGTCAGCACCACGCTCTCGCAAGTGAGCCATGGGCCGGCACTCACGGTTTTAGTTTCTAAAAATTAGCAAAACTGGAAGAAATATAACTGCACTGCCCCCTTGGAGGCATAGAAATTACAGCGCTCTGAATCTCCTAGAAAAACACTGGAACACAAAGAGTGGTTCAGTGTAGGAGCCCATTCTTCCTCCAGGCCATTTGAGCAGTTGAAAAAAGATGACAAGGTGTTTTTCTGCTTGCATCCCAGAGGATTTGACAGCCTCCTATGTGAATCTAAACAGTTCCCCATTTATTCACTTTCCGTGGTTTTTGAGAACAGAGCGAGAACCTCCATCTTGGTCTCTCTTCTCAGTGTGGCATAAGTGGAATAGTATAATTTCTTCCTACCACAAACTTTGAGCAGAAGGTAGAAATTAAAATTGGTTGAATTAGTACCAGCCAGCTGCAAAAAAAAGAAAGGTGGTTAAGTTATCATGTAAGAATATATGTATATGATGATTAAATACATATTGTACATGTTAAGATTAAGAGGGCTGGTAATCATCCAGTGTTGGGCCTGGCCAAAAAATGGGGGGTAAAAAAAAAGAGGGCTGAAATAATACAAGGAATGCAGTACCAGAGGCTGGGCCAAAGATGTTTCTGCCATAGCTACTTTTTAAAATTGTGCATTTTTTTCTCACTATTGATAAGAATACAAGATCTTTGCTGTGGCAAGTAAGTATTGGGATATTTGTACTTATGTACAATAATTCTCAGAGTTGAAATCTACATGTACCTGGTTCTGCCACTTTTTATTTTATTTTATTTTATTTTTTTAAAGATGACCGGTAAGGGGATCTCAACCCTTGGCTTGGTGTTGTCAGCACCACGCTCAGTCAGTGAGCGAACCGGCCATCCCTATATAGGATCCGAACCCGCGGCCTTGGTGTTATGAGCACCGCACTCTACCGAGTGAGCCACGGGCCGGCCCAGCCACTTTTTATTTTAATAATTTAAAATGTTAGGTGAACCCGGAGTCAGATCTAAGAAGTAGAATGCCCAAGGCTCTATTTCAGTTTTCTGGGCTTTACTTGGCTGGTCTTGACTTTAAAACTGCTTTGAGGGCCGGCCCGTGGCTCACTCGGTAGAGTGCGGTGCTGATAACACCAAGGCCACGGGTTCGGATCCCTATATAGGGATGGCCGGTTTGCTCACTGGGTGAGCGTGGTGCTGACAACACCAAGTCAAGGGTTAAGATCCCCTTACTGGTCATCTTTTTTAAAAAAATAAAAATAAAACTGCTTTGATACTTTATATACTTGATGCACCTGGAGAACTGATTATTGCGATGCATCGAAGACATTTATTTAGGCTAAAGGGAGGGATTAGCATTTTTACACATTTGTCATGTTTCTTCAGAAGTTATATCTGCCAGGATATACTGTTAAACACGAGGGCACATATTTAGTTATCTTTCGTGTATTTTTTTATGGACGAGGAAACACTGTAGTAGGACTGGTCCCTTTTCATCTGTAGTTATTTCATTCAGTAGAATTACATAATTCAAGAAATATGTTGCCTAGTATGTTACTTCTTAACTCTAAGCATATTGAAATCACAAAGTATTTTCTGACAGCCTAAAAACATACAAAACAGTATTTCTAAAATCATTTATTGACATTTAAGTCTTTGTATTTATTACCCTTCTCCACGCCACCAAACAAAAGAACATCTTTTTGGTTAAAAATGTATATGAATAATATATAAAACACTGATAGTATAACATGATTTACCGAATCCTAATTCTCACTTACACTATGTATTTAGTGATCAAAATGTTACGAGGAGTAAATAATCCAGGGAACACACTTTATTTTACACTGGACAATATTTGCAAAAATTTTGTTATAGTGCCCTTTCCTTCTGCATCGCATTGGCTTGGTGCAAATCAGCTTAGGGTCCTACCCATCCCGACTTCCTTAGATCCTGACAGGGACCAATGCAATTCATTTGCATTGACTTTCTATTGTAGAGCTTTGGAACCAAGGGAAGGATCCAAACATAGCTCCATTTTATCCAATCAGAAGAGCTGCTTAGTGCTAAACTCTGATTTGTCCATTCCTGTTTGCATTTATCCAATCGTTAGGCCACTTTAACAGCCAATCAGCGGCCTAAATATCCACCAATCAAGGAACGGGGCCCAAGCACGGCCTTTGTGTCGGGAGATGTCAGCGCGTCGGCGAAAGCGCCCGCCAATAGAAAAAGTCGTTGGTGTATGCAAATAAGGGTACTATGACGCAGAGACGCAGCGTGAAGCGTGGGTATAAAGGCGGAGTCGTAGCGGGGGTTTGGAGCTCAGAGCGGTTTGGTCGTTGGCGAGGTGAACGCCTTTTCTTTGCTCGGCTGCTGCGGCTCTTCAGTGGGCGGCAGGAGCGGCGCGGCGGTCGGAGGAGCGGCCTAAGATCTCGGCGACAGGTGAGGGTTCACGGATTTTCCCGTGACTTGCGGCCCCTGCCAGCCGTTGGCGCCGCGGGTCGCGGCCGTTGGGAGCTGACGGCCGGGTGGTGGGAGCTGTTCGGGCCGTTGGCGTCGAGTGTGGGGCCGGGAGGTCGCCCGTTGGGACTTGGCTCCGGGGCCGCGTTTCCGCCTTTCTTGGGTGGTGATTCAGAGGCCTGGCCGCCGGGTTCCGGGCAGCCGGGCCTCCGCCCGTCGAGGGAGGGAGGTGGCTCCTCCCCGCGGCCCCTTCCCGGGGGAGGCTGTGGCTGCTCCTCGCAGCCTGAGTCATTAGGGGAGGGGGAGGAGGCGGCCCTCGGCCATCTGCTGCCGCGAGGTGGGGCCCGAAGAGGCGGGAGGTTATGGGGGCGGGGGACCCTCGCGGGGAGACGGGGACGCGGAGCCTGTCTCGGCCCCCCCCTTCACCCCCGGGAGGCGACGGGGGGGGGGCCGGCCGGGGACAGCGCCGCGGCCTGAGTCGGTGATACCTTTGTTAGGTGGAAGAGAATGGCCCGAACCAAGCAGACCGCTCGTAAGTCCACTGGGGGCAAAGCCCCCCGCAAACAGCTGGCCACCAAGGCTGCCAGGAAAAGCGCCCCCTCTACCGGCGGGGTGAAGAAACCTCACCGCTACAGGTAGGCGGGGCAGGGCCGGGCGGCGGCTGCGCGGCGGTGGGCAGCCCGGGGTCCCGCGCCGCCCGTTTACACCCGCCTTTGCTCGCGGCAGGCCCGGGACTGTGGCGCTTCGAGAGATTCGTCGTTACCAGAAATCGACCGAGCTTCTCATCCGGAAGCTGCCTTTCCAGAGGCTGGTGAGGGAGATCGCCCAGGATTTCAAAACCGACCTGAGGTTTCAGAGCGCGGCCATTGGGGCGCTGCAGGTGAGACACAGGCTGGGCGCGCGGGAGGAGGGCTTGTGTGGGTTTCCTTCTCCTTGAAGGGGCTCTAACAGGGGGGCTCTTGTTCTCAACAGGAGGCCAGTGAAGCGTACCTGGTGGGTTTGTTTGAAGATACTAATCTTTGTGCCATCCACGCCAAGAGAGTCACCATTATGCCCAAAGATATCCAGTTGGCTCGCCGGATACGGGGAGAGAGAGCTTAAGCGAAGGCAGTTTTTATGGCGTTTTGTAGTAAATTCTGTAAAATACTTTGGTTTAATTTGTGACTTTTTTTTTTGTAAGAAATTGTTTATAATATGTTGCATTTGTACTTAAGTCATTCCATCTTTCACTCAGGATGAATGCGAAAAGTGACTGTTCACAGACCTCAGTGATGTGAGCGCTGTTGCTCAGGAGTGACAAGTTGCTAATATGCAGAAGGGATGGGTGATATTTCTTGCTTCTCATGATGCATGTTTCTGTATGTTAATGACTTGTTGGGTAGCTATTAAGGTACTAGAATTGATAAATGTGTACAGGGTCCTTTTGCAATAAAACTGGTTATGACTTGATCCAAGTGTTTAACAATTGGGGCTGTTAAGTCTGACCATACATCACTGTGATAGAATGCGGGCTTTTTCAAGGGTGAAGATTCAAGTCTTAACCACAGTGTAACTTACAGTTTCCTTAAAAAAAAAAAAAAAAAAAAAAAAAAAAAAAAAAGTAAACCTGGCAGCTATAGAATACACTATGTGCATTTATAATAGCTATTTTATATATTGTAGTGTCAACATTTTTAAATTAAATGTTTTACATTCACAAGTGGTGAGGAGTCTTGTCATTAAGGTGTGTGTAATTTAGAGTCCAGTTGGTTTTCTCCTAACTAGACTGCACTTGTTTTCATAGTAGTAAAATTGCTGTGTGCATTATACCTTGCATAAGTCCTCATTCTACCACATGTTAACTAACCCTGTAGCTGATAATGCAAACACTAACTGGGGGATTTTATTTATAAGGGCTCTAGAATAAAATACGAGTTATTCACACCAGCATCATCTGTTACTAATATTCTGAACTAGTTAGTGCAGCTTTTCCTTGTGTTGTGGTTGGTCTCATAATTAGTTGTTTTTTTATTCTAAGAGGAAATAATACCGAAGTTTTTTTCCTTGTAGAGTTTGTATTATAATTACCCTTAGTGTAAACTTGCTGTGGGGGAAGAGCACATATCTCCAGCTTATGGAATCTCTGCCAGTTAAGGTGGTGTTGGATTAGGTTATATCTGGTTACTGTCCTGGGAAAATCACTTACAGAGATGCCCTTCCAAGTGGCTTAAAAATTTATCTTTCTATTGAAGTTTTTAGGTCAATTATGTATGTTGGCTAAATTTACAAATAAACTTGTTTATCCAACTAAGTGTCAAAAACCTAAATTGAATGTACAAAGATATGACATCTATAGGTTCTTTGTATCTTGATGTTTGAGCTTAGATTATTTCAGCTTTTGCTTGATAGGAACTTTATAATTACGAAGATAATTATAGAAAACGTGTGAATAGCCCTTTGCTCTATAAAAATGCCATGATATTGTCATATTTGTAGTGTGGGGTTAAGACAAAGTATATTAATATGCCTCTGCTCCCCCCGCCCAGTGTCACGGAATAAAAAGATACTTATGTTCAAGGGTATGACACAGGCTAAGGAAAACATTGTAAAAATAAGGTTCTAGGGCTCGAGTTTGGGATCTGTTCCATAAACATATTTCTGAAGCAGGTTGAGAGATGTTCATGCAAGGGGGCCGGCCTGTGGCTCACTCAGGAGAGATGTGGTGCTGATAACACCAAGGCCAGGGGTTTGGATCCCTATATAGGGATGGCCGGTTAGCTCACTTGGGAGAGTGGTGCTGACAACAGCAAGCCAAAGATTGAGATACCCTTACCGGTCATCTATAAAAAAAAAAAAAATGTTCATACAAGGTATTTTAACAAACCCAAGGGTGGTAGAACTCATTGTTTCAGTATGAAACTACTACTTTTGAGCAACCATAGCAATTAGTGAGGCATATAGTATGTGAATGTCAGCAAGACCATGGGTGTAAGTCACCAGTCAACAAAACATTGCATATGCTTGAAGCCAGTAGAAACTTTTGTCCTGTTAAAATGGCTTGTTCTAAAATCAAGATCTGAGTCAAAGTTTCAAACTTTAAGAGGCAATACCAAGAAAATGTATCTTTAAAAAGAAGATGACTTTGGAGTCTTGGTAACAATGATCCTGTGGAGTGTCAGGTGGAATCTAATAACCAACCCTATTTTCTAGAATGCCCATCATAACCAGATTTGGAACAAGCACATAGCAATTTTAGCAATTTTCACAATTTTGTCACATTGCACTTCTGGATGAGACAAATCCTAGACATTGGAATGTGTCGTGCTCTGCAGTGTTTGAAAATTAAGAAACTTGGTTGTGGTGATTAGATTGTTTAGTTATTCCACCTGTGATAACCCAAATGGGTGACAATAGTGAACAAATATTTTCCCCAGTCTTCGGCTTAATGTGGAAGGCTCTTGGATTTTATCGGGCAGTCTGGGATCTGCTGCTTAAATAGTGCAACTTGCACTTCCACACTTTGCTTGAGCACACAACCCAGGAGGCAAAATTTTTTGGTTCTAGAAGCTGCCCGTACAGGACATCATTGGGTAAGGGCAGTGGAGAAGAGTTTGTAAGGAGAAAAAAGTTGGGAGCTGCTGAAGGTATCCTGTGCCCTTGATGGATGAGAGAAAAATAAAGTTTTTGAAGATATGAGATTTTCTCATCTTGTTTATGGTTTTCATTTGAATGATGTCTTTCACAAAATTTGGGGAAATGTCTAGAAAGCCTTGCCTTGTGACTCAGCTGGCAGTAGGGGGCGCACATTCAGTAGTAAGACAGGCTATTCAGGTGACTTGTCAGTTTGCCCATGACAGTGCCAGTTCATGCCTGTTGTACTGGTGAGTTAATAGTGCCTCCGTTTACTGTCAACTGTCCCAGTTTGGCAAATTATAAGGTCATTCTACCTACTCATAGCATGGTAGTGTGTGATGGGGACTCAGTGAATCTTTTATGTAAGGACAGATTTCAGGAAAGTAAGCTGGATTCAAAGTGCTTGTCCCACCTAGTTTCCTTTTAATTATGCCACCTTAAATTTTGTAAGGACATAATTTGTCCCTTAAATCATCTGTCTGGTCCATATAATCAGTTCTGGGATGAAGCAGGGATATTTTGCCCAGAAACACGGGCCCAAGGTGTCCACACACAAATAAGTATACAGATAGTGAAAAGGAGTGGCAAAAAGGAAAACACAAGTGCAGAGGAGAGCATTGGGTGCTACCTCGTCTAGGATGGACCTGGCTTCTGGCCTTCCAGCCACCTTTCTGAGCGTACAAGCTAGGGGCTCCAGGACAAGGGGGATGGCTTAGTTCAGAACTTCATGGGAGCCAGGGCCCTGTCAGGATCTCTGGCACTTCCAGCCCTCCCCAATTTACCTGGCCCACGCTGATCTAGCCAGAGGGAAGAATAGGCCTGAGAAGAATACCCCATTCCCCTAGCCAGACCTCATACCCTGCTGCCTCCCCACAAGCAGGGACCTCTGTTATTGCCTGGCCAATGTCTCGGAGTATAGGGAAACAGACCCCAAGTTGGCTAGCTGGACTGGAAATTTGCTATTTGCAGCTCATTCATTTCGGGAATCATTCTTCGGCTTTTCCCAACAGTGGATGATCTCTGCCGAGGCTCTTCCTACCTGGCTCCTTTCAAGCACTGCCTACTGCCTGACATCAGGCTGGGGTCTACAGTAGTTGGAAAGCAGGCTTTTTCCAACACAGCTGCCTGTCGTTGGATCAGCAGGAAACACGGGCTTGCCCTTCAATTTCTGCAAGATGATTTCAGCCTGGGTTTGGGATCAGAGCCTCAGACCTATGGCCAATCTATCCTGCCACAGAGAGGAGCCAGGTGGGCAGTTTTTACTCCCCTCTCCCGCAGGTGTTGTCTTACTGGGGATGGTATGTTCTCCTGGGCATGAGAGCCTTGAGCTCCCACCCTGAGCATTCTGTCTCCACACCTGCCTTCATCCCTTAGGGCGGGAGCATTTCACAGTCATGTCACTTGCCACAGCCCTGCGCCAAGAACTGACCAGTCCTGCAGCTGAGCTAGCTGCATCTTACCTGGGCCCTCACAGCCTCTTCCTTTCCTCACCCAAATGGTGCTCCTACCTGCCCGCTGTGGGCATTCCTCAGGCAGATGCCCTGATGTCAAGGATGTCACCAGCCTGGACCACTCCATCCAGCTGGGCCGGGCTTCTGGCCAGCAACTTTAGCACAAATAGCTGGCCTTCCAGCTAAGCTACATTCCCAATGGCAAGGCTGGAAGAAAGGCCAGGCCCCTGGGCAGGTTCCTAACCCAAATCCCACAGCACCCTCAAGGAGAAGGCTGAGGGTGCCCCCTTGGGTCAGGTGGCTGGCCTTTTGGCTCCCTGACCCCTTCATCAGCAGGCTGAGGTGAGTATCCCTGGGACAGCTTTGAGTTCATACACGGAGGAGCTGTGCTGTGAGGAGCAGCCAGAGAATGGTATCCTCCTTCCTGAGCCATTCCTTCTCCCTGTGGTCCTGCTGACTAAGCAGCAATGCCCGGCAGTCAGTGATCCTACCCAGACACCACCACTCGTCCAAGTAAAGAGTGACAGGACTTCTATGTGATGTGCTCCAGCCTGTCCTGGCATCTTCACCTGAGCATCAGGCCCAGTGTCCAAGAGGGGCCAGTCTTATAGGTCAGGCATATCTAGGTGCAGTGCTTCTTAGCTATCTGCCCTGGGCAGAGGATCTGCCACCCCACCCCCACCTACCCCATTGCCCTGCCCCATGGAGGAAACTAAGAAGTTCTGTGGTCACACCATACTTGGGATGCAAGAGGAGGGGACTTCAGTGAGGCTGTGATTCCTGAAGGCTACATATGATCTGAAAAGGGCTGCAGAGGGAGGGACGTGGTCAGGCAGTCAGAGTCTGGGACCTTCTAACCGGCAGCTGCCAACTCACATCCAGGTAGCTGCAGTTCTGGGAATATACACAGTAGGATGGAGGGTGGGCAGAAAGGAAGAGGTCCATCTTAATTAGACACCACCAGTACCAATGACAAGAGGACTCTTAGAAGGAGAAGCAGGGGGGCTGCAGGCTTAGGGCAGGTGGCTTTTTGCTGAGGGGTGTATGAAGGATTGTGCATGCCCCACAAAGGTGCTTCCTCAGCTCCATTAGCCCCTGCTCCCTTCCCACTTCCTCTGTTGGACATACTGGGCACCAGGACTCTCCCATATGCTTCTCACTGTCTAGCACTAAGCCAAGGGGGTTAAGCAGGATGGGCTTGGGTCCAAGGTCCAAGCATCATGGGCCCAAGAGTCCTGCTGCAGCCCACAGGGCTCTCCTTCCCCAGCTCCTTGCCTTCAGCTAGTTTCAGTCCTCCTGCCAACCTCCAGTGACCTGAAGCCTGGGCAGCTGCAGTGCCAACCAGCAGCTTCCTGGCCAGTGTGAGGTGCAGGAAGAGACAGCCGCAGCCTTGAGCTGTCAGCACATCTTGTAAGTCTGGGCTTGCTCCCTGGCCATTGACAGGGTGGTCACCAGCCTAGAGGGCAGGAGCTTCAGGGACAGAATGGGGTCACCAAATGAAGACAAGCTTTGCAGCTGGCTTCCCTGAGCAGGGACATCTGAGGCCAGAGAGGGAAGAGAAACTCCTGGCACTCTGAAGGCGGGGACTGAGAATTTCCTGTCCCTGGAGTCACGCAGGGCACATAGCAGAGGCTCCAGGCAGATTTGCTAACCAAATCAAATGGCCCTGGGAGTCCCTCAGCACAGCTGGCTGAATCTGCTCCTGGCACAGGCAGCAAAGAGTTAGTCTCATTACTAAGAGCTTTGGTTACTGGCCTGGCTTCCAAACAGGGAGTGTTCCATGTAAGAACTAGGGCTCCTGTGGTCTAGGAGAGCAGCTGCCCCTAAGCAGAGGCTGAGCCTTAGGTCTCGACACTTTTGTGCACAGCTCAGGCTGGTAGAGCAGAGGGTGCAGCAGTCCAGGGTGTTCATGGGGACAGGGTGGTGGCTGAGAGAACAGGGTCAGAACAAGTTCAAGGCCCAATTCTCCTGTTAGGATGAGTCCCTTAACTTATCCGTGCCTCTCTTCTTCATCTGTAAAATGGAAATAATAAAGTGTCTACCCAGTATGCTTGCAAAGATTTAATAAAACAATCTGTGCAAAGTTCAGTAAGCTCTAGGGGTGACTTTAAAATTACTGTATTTGGGCTGGCCAGTTAGCTCAGTTGGTTAGAGTGTGGTACTGATAACACCAAGGTCCAGGGGTAGATCCCTGTACTGGCCAGCTGCCAAAAACATAAATAA